CAGGAAGGGTAAACTTCAGTATTCCTCACAAAAGAAATTCTTTAAGCATCTTGTATTAACAATGAGCTTACCTTCATCCTCCTTAGGAGATGTTTGTTCTGTGATCCTACAACAGTAGTATTTGCAAAAGGGAAGCTGCAAATGTTTCCCTCCAGACTAGCTGCTTAGTTTTGTCAGGCCTACACGCTGCCTGCTGCAATTTGGCATGGAGCATGTCTTTATGATTGTTCATTCAGTAGCTCAGATTAGACTTCTGCAACAGAACAAATGTCTCTATAGCAGGCGGTTCAAGAGTGGTGTCAGGGCGATATCCAACTTCTTTGCAAACCATTACATTTAAGAATGGAATGGATCTATGTTGCAGGATGACCTAAATAGTGATAATCTAGGTAAGGCTTCACCTGCCTTCATCTGTTTTGGTTGTGTCCAGTTCCTACCCACACATGCACAAGCACCCCTTCCTTTTCATTAGTGTATTCTCCCTCTTTTCCTCATCACTGCTTTTTGCCAGTCTGACTGGATGATTTTCTCACTAGTGTTTTTTCTGATTGACTTGAAGCTGTATCCTTTTTGAATCAGTCATAACTACAGAAGAGCAAAACAGAGCCTGTTCTGCCATATACTTCATCAAGCACCAGTCTCACAATTTAGCCTCTTACTCTTGTCCGAGACAGTGAATCACACTGGGCATTCACATCACAGAAACAGAGCTGGCGAACTCACTTTTTTAAGGTCTAGCTCATCCTTATATTTTGTACATAATGCTAGTCTATTACTTTAAGCCCCACCTGTAAGCTTTGAATGGCTCTTCTCTACACAGATAATGTCACTCAAGTTGAGTAAATGTTACAAATATGACTTAAAATTGCTTAATATTCATTTTCCCCTTTCTTGTCGCTGAAGAGAATGACCTATTTGATCATTACTGCATTTAGCACCTCTATTTATATACGCTCTGAAAGAGCAAAAAAGAGCAGGAGGGGTTATTTGGTGGTACAGGCTCTTGGAGTGAGAAGGAGGTTGTGCTCAAAGTCAAAGGTGCCTGCCAATGCACTAGCTTAAGTTGCTGCACAGCAGCTTGCAAGGAAGTCGCAGCAAAAAGATTATTTGAAATAGTGCTTGACTTGGGCTAAAACTTTTGCATGTGGCTGCACAGATTCATTTGTACTTGTAAGTACAGCAGGGATCTGTCATAGCAGTAAGGAAAGGTTATGTGTGATTGAGCAGCTCTATTGCTATTAGCAGGAGCTGCTAAAGGCCCTGATGTTCTGTGGGTCTGAAGGTAGAAGCTTGCAGCAGATACTTGCTCCTACTCTTGTTTAAGTAGGCTGGGCTTTTTCTTTTAATGACATTTAAAGGTCAGGAGGAGGACAACAGACATCAGCTTTCAAAGATAACAAAAGGGGCGATCTTTACAGTGATATGTCACTGTCTGCTTCTCATAGGACATACCTTTCTTGTTTGTGTGCTTTCCTCGCGCGTATTAAGGTCTCTATGGCAGCACCAGCATCATTTAAGATGCCATCTGTTGTTTGCCTAGAGAGTCTGATTTGATTCCTGGCATTTGGACTGCGACAGGGAGATAGCACCTCTACAGAGCAGATGAAGCTAGAGAAAGAGGATTAAAGGCTAAGGAAATAATTTGCGATCTTTGGTTATGCTTAAACAAGTGGCACTAGAAAGAGTTTTGGACAAATGTGCCTTGAATATCCTTGAGATGAGGCAGTGACAAATGGCAGATCTCAGGGTTTAAAATGTATCAGCTCAGCACAAATGCAATTGATTATAAACTATGTAATTTTCCACGTTTTTGCAGTGTGTAGCTTCAGCAGGCCTTACAGCTGATAATACCATGCCACCGATCTCCCTTTTACTCTGTGCAGATGTACTGAGAAATGCCAAGTGTGTGCTTAAACTAAAAGTCTAGTTGCTGCTTTGTTTATGGAGAGCAATGGTGCTGTAGGCCCTAAAGTGACCTGCAAAATCAACATGCTACACAGGTATGCAGCAATTTCAGACCAAAGGAGATTTATCATGTTTATGATAAATGTGCTTCTGGAGAGCTGAGAGAATTACCCGGACATAGGGAGTGTTTGTTATATATACTGCAGATTGTATGCATGGCAGACTTAAAAGGTGTTTTTTTTTTTTTTAAATACCCTTTAAGGGCACCTCTTACTTTAAAAAATATGCAGCCAGTTACTATTTGGGAACTGTAATCCCCTTTGTTATTGTGGCAGAGAAGCACTTTGAAGCAGACAAGGCATCCAAACAGCTTTAAGGTTTTCAGTTGGAATATTGCATTCAGTTTCAGTCACCTCATTACCAAAAATTGGCAGAAGTTCAGAGAAGAGTGACAAAAATGATTAAGGGACAGAAATTGATTTATTAGGAGATATTAGAAACAGCTAAATTATGCACATCTTGGCTAAGCCGTGACTATGAAGGAAGATAAGGCTATAGATGAAGAGTGTAAACACTGTTCAAGGAGAAGGATTTTATAGTTGTGTATGCTGGGGTATAGCTAAAAGTAGAGGGATCAAATTAGCAAAGAGAAAACTTGAGATGAGTATCAAGGAAATCTTGACAGTGAGACACATTGAAACTGTGGAGTAGTCTCCTAGGAGAAATGATGAAAACTGTACTGCTTGAGACTTCAAATGAGACTGGACATAATAGTAAATATGCTGTAATGAGTGAGAAGACTGCTCTATCTAAATTAGTCTGCCTAAATTTTATTCGGTTTTTGCCGTGTGTGCACATCACCTAACACACTGGGCCTTATTATTTGAAAGGGTTTTCTGGGGGCTACCACAATGTGCGTGTTACCCTCAAAAAGAAGTTGCAAATTCGAACATTGAGAAGTTAAGGAACGTCAATATTGACACTTTGGGCAAGAGTAATTTGGTCCCTTCAATATGTATTGTGATCTGTAAGTGAGAGGATCTCTGCTTGTTCTCGGTGCCCAGACGTGGCAGTCAGGAGCACTCCTGCTCTAACCGGGGTCGAAGCGTGCAGCTGGTGATCTACGCAGTGCTGATGGGCCCCCACTCAGGGGCTGCAGCATTGTCTTCCTACAAAGGCATACGTGGCCATCGTAGATAGGATTTCTACAGAGCTTCCGGAGGGCACCTCCTTGACAGGGGGAATTTCAGGTCCTATATCTACACCTGGGCAAGAATTTGCCATGAAGCTCATTTTGCTCATTTTGTGGGTGTTCTCATTGTGATTCATTCACGTAAGCAGCCATATTAACTCCAAAAAAAAAAAAAAGAAAAAAAAAAAAAGAAAGACCCAGAGAGGGAAGGTGGAAAAAGATAGTTATGGTAGAGAACATGCTGCATGGCAGTTTTCAACCTGAATTGTTGCTTATAATATGAGAATTTAGCTAAACCGAGTGGTGTAATAGGAAGTAACAGGCAGTGTTCATGACAGACAGTGCTACCAGCTATGTGTCTTCAGAGTAAGCGAATGCTGAGCACCTAACAGTGATCGTGATAGGGGCTCTCATGAATGTGAACAGAAGACTCAGCGGTGGGTGGACTAGATCTCTGCTAATTCTAATGAATCTTTCATGAATTAGAAATTCCAGCACCCTCCCTAGAGAGACAAGATTTGCTTGGTTGCCAAGTTACTCCCACACATTCAGTGAATTGACCAACTGCTGAGTTGTGACCTGTTGTTGTGGATTGCTTGAAGGCTATTTCACTGTCTGGGTAAGAGAATTTCTAATGAAAGATCTCACTTTCTGTTTTCACAGCAGCAAATCCATTACTTTGCTCTACTGCTCGATTCCACTGTAAAAATGGTCTTTGCATTGATAAAAGCTTCGTGTGCGACAGTCAGAATAACTGTCAAGACAACAGTGATGAAGAAAGCTGTGAAAGCCCTCAAGGTAGGCATGGGGTTTTTATGCTGTTCTGCACCTTTATACCAACTTCAGTTAATGTTCAGGAGCAGGCTCAGAAGAAAACGTGATTCTTCCGATTTACTCTGCATTGGATAGAACTGCTGTTTCCTAATCCTGCATTGGATAGAACTGGTGTTTCCTAATCCTGCAAGTGAAGCATGCAGTGTGTGTGCGTGTGTGTATTTCATTCCAAGTCCTCAGAGGACTGCTGCTGTCTCTTTCAGCTTAGTACAAATGCACTTTTGTGGAAAGTCCGTGATCCAGTGCTCACTGAAGTTGCTCACAGTCCATTCAGTGACTTCCATGAGAGATGGATTGGACCCAGAATGATCATTAATAAAACTTCATTTTGAAATAGTTCAACAGTCTGTCCATTTCCTAGATGAGTAACTCTGTAGGCTTAATTTAGATCTTCATTCCTCAGTTACTTCTGCAAGGTAAGTTTCACTGTAGGACAAGTCTGCAATGAAGGAATTTGCTCCTACCCTTCCTCATTTTTGTACTTACAGAAAAAGATGAGGATAGGGAAGGCATTGTTACTACTGTTGTAAAAATATTCTATATCCAGTTTTGTAAGAATCTCACAAAACAATCTGTCTTTCTTTTTTTCTTTCTTTTTAGCTTTTGCTATAACTCTATATCTGGTGCTCCTCAGTTGTATTTTCTCTAACTTCATGCCATGACGTTCTATAAAACATGAAATATATATGAATTGAGGTTGATGAATGATGTATACTGGGCATCATCTGCTAAACCTTTTTATGTCTGAGTTACTACTGAGAGATCAGAGTAGAGAAAAAACAGGAGAGTGTGGGGTTATTTGCAGGAGTGATGCAGTGTGCTTGCGCTTATAGCAGACAGGAAGCATGAAGAGAGAGAACAAGGTATGAAAAATGATGAAATTAGGAAAATTGAAAGAGAATGACTTTAATATCAGCTGCACTGATGATTTAGTCCCTCATTTAATACAAGATAATTAAAATAGTGATAAATATTCTTGATGAATCATTGCCCCTTATCAAAGCTCATAGGGGAAGAGGGAGAACATGCAACAGCAGTGTCAACAAAAAATGATGTATAGTGATGGCTGGTATAGGAGAGTCTCTCTTCCGTGCAATTTCTCTGCTTAACCTATGAGCTCTTTCCTTTTGCTTGAGATCTAAAAGTGGAATGGGTCAGCCTGGTACTTACCTACTTGCTGGGCTCTGTGTTGCATCCTCAAAACAACTCTGCTGAGAGAGTGCCTCAGAGAGAATGGCTTGGCCCGCTCTCAGATTAAGCTCTTTCTGGATGGAAGGAAAGGACTTCTGAGGGACTAAAATTTGTCTACTGCTGCAATAATGCTGTTACCACTGTGCTGAGGGGTGAATTGTTTTCCCCTGTGGGCCTAAGGCAGCCTAATAAGATTAACATGTGTGGTAAGGGGTTTTTTGCGTGTATGCTTTTTTGTTTTGTTTTGTTTTTTCATCAGAAGCTTAAAGCAGCAGAATTCTCTTCCAAGGTTGGGATGGCTGCATCCTCTGCAGATTAAGTGGCTGGATTGCCTCCAGGTTGTTTGTTGTCATGACAATCTGCTTTTGGAAGTGACTGTCAGGCTAAGGAGAAGAAAAGAGTTGTATTTCATGAAGCTGTTACTTTATCTTTGGTCCTCTGGAAAAGTCAGATTAATAAGATGGTTAAGCAAAGTAATTCTGTCTGAATCTGTGCATGAAAGAGCCCCCAAACAAGAGAAAAGGAGCTCTCTTTCGTTAGGACCATAGTAGCAATGACCAAAAAAAAAAAAATGCTGTTACAGTTCACAGGAGAAGAAATTGGGTCCAAAGTACAAGATTGGGAGTGTAAAGAGTTGCTGAACTGAAATTCTGGCTCTGTGTATATGTGATTGTCTCTGTCCTTTGGCAGTTCAGAGTTTCCCTGAATTGCCGTTTCCGAATCTGTAAGTGGGCGATGCTTATGTACCTATCTTTCAAAGTGAGGATTAAACAGTGTAATAATGTGCTCAGCTTCCCATCTGAATGTAAATAAAGATTCCTTCCTGAGTTTGCAGCTATGGCTCTGTCTGTCCTGGCTTCCAAACATACAAAGGACTTCGTGTTATTTGAGAATTAGAGGCAACTGTGGACAGAATCTTTTCATTTCTCACCATCCTTTCTACAGCAGATCTAATTATGGTAATTATGATGAGTTTCATGTTAACACAGCACCCAAGAATCCTAGTCAATAACCAGAACCAGAACATAACTGTTCTAGATACTTAGGGACAGAGCAAAGGTGATAACCTGTAAGTTATTATGAAATCAAGGTATAGTATTTTCTTCCCACTAGCCATGATACAATGTTAAATGCAGTAGCTTTAATTCATAGTGTAATTGAATGAAGTCTGACATATGAGATTGCCCTTGTGTGCTATTTTTCTGTGTAAAAATTTGTTGATTAAGCAAACACTAAGCTTCTGAACCACTCCCTATAGTAGGATTGGGTCATTATCTCTATTTAACAGATAGGGAAAATGAGGCACAGAGCAACTCAACAAAATGCCCCAGAGTAACATCCTGGCAGTTAGGAGTAGAGCTTCATCTGTGCTTATCTGCTTCAGGGGAATGTTGTGAGACTTATTCAATGTTAGCAAACTGTTTTGAGACGCTCTGATAACATGTGGAATAGAAGTGTGAATTATTAATTGGTACTTTGCTCTCTTTCTGCTCTCGGGTATACTGACAAGCTTTTTAAATTAACACCTCTTCCTACTTCTCCCGTGAACTTCAAAGGCCTCCTTTATCCAGCTGTCATTACTGAAAAGCTCCAGTGCCATATCTGTTTGGTTTGTTTCAGATGCTCCTCCATGCATAAAGATCCTTTCAATCAAGGGTGGTCACGGTGCAGTCTAGGAAAACAGGAATGTAAACCCTTACTGAAAATTGTGTTGACCTGGCTTTGATATAGGAGACTTCAAAATGAGCTGTCCTTGATGAGTAATAGCTTTGCTGGGACATTGGAATTTGAGATGAACCTGAAGCTGTAGGTTTATGAAGATTAATTTTAGTCATAACTAGGGGTAGGGTAGAATCATTTGAGATGGGGAGAGGCCCACGTCAAAGTCACGAAAAAGGGAGGAAGGTCAAAAATTTTAAAGGCAATTTCCTGCCCTCCTTTGTTTTTCCTTACCACTTGTAACTGAGTGTTGCACGTTTTATATAGACTTTTGTGTCATGGGGGAAGTATCAGTTTAAAAACTTAAACCATTGCAATTTAGAAGCAAGTCAAATGATTAATATTTTGTAATTATTTGTAGATCTTGTAGCTGCTGTGATAATCCTGAGCTCTTCCTTTAATCTCACCAGTTACACTTCTGTCATCTCTGTTTTCCAGCATTAAAGTAGAATGGCCAGACTTTTCTCTTAGTCTAGAATATAGTTTTAGTCCCGATACATGCCTGAATCTTAGGAACTGGCGAAGGCTGTAATTGCTTGGATCAATCTGTGTGTTTGTGTATGAGTAGTGTGCAATTGCCCTTTCTAGGGCATTATTCTAGTTTTAACCACACTTGCAGTGATTGGAATTTCTGTTCCTACTCTATGCTTAAAGTGTCTTAAATTAAGAAAGTTCATCTCCCCCATCCACGTTTCTCATATTTCAAGATGATCTTTCCCCATGCCTTAAATTAACTGATGGTGGTAATAATTTAGAGAGCAGCTGCTCTGGGTATACTTGTCTGATCTGCCTGTTGGGGGGGGTGGGGAGGGGAAGGAGGATTTCCTGCTGAATCCATTGAATTAGAAGGGAATTCCTTATTCTTTTTCTGTCTCCTCTTAATTTTTTTTTTCAGCAACTAGGTGAATTTGTTCAGCTCTAGGACTATATTTATGTATTCCTTTAATTGCTTTCTATCTAAATGTGTTTTCACAGTGTTTCTTCCTCTCTGATTTCTCCTCTGTGTTGTACTTTTGTTGCTGTTAAATCTTTCTAGAATAAAAGTAGTATATGGGCTCTTTTGATTCAAACTTCTCTTCTTTTCATGGTCCTTCTTTTCTTTCCTTCAAAGTTTGCTAAATACCTTTATTAGTTTTAACCCCGTTGCCTAGGAAAGGGGACTTTATATTGCTGCAAGTCTGTGTTCACTGTGACTGGTGCTGTAGAGGCCCTTGGCTTCAGCAGTGTTTCTACCATTCTAGCTCTGCAGTTGTTAGTAAACAGTACCACTGTAGTCAAGTTATAAACCAACTGTTCTGCAAGCGCCCTGAAAGCGATTCCTGCCCTACATTTCTGCAGTGGATTCTGTAATGCCCACTGTTGCACATGTGAGTACCTGCCTTCCCCCTCCCCTTCCCAAGTTGCGTATTTTTTTCATTGAAGCTGAATTAGGGTTTTGATATTCCCCCAAATTCTAAAACACGTTTAGAAGCATACACAACTGTCAGAAATCTCTGCTTTTTCCTTTGTGGCACATATAAATTGCTGGTATAAAAACTGGCAGTATACTGAAAACTGAAGAATCTGGCCCTATGTCAAGCAAGTAAAATCGGCTCCAAAAATTGATTTGTTAAAATTAATTTTTAAGTGATGACAGAAATTCTGTAATGATCACTTAGGTGGAGTTAGGTGAGATTAGATTGGAATGGAACTGCCTAAAGCAGTAAGCACTAAGTCCCATTGCTGATGTTTGCCATGTATATTATGATATTTGTTTGCATCAGCAACCCTTTGCTGATGTTTGTATAACACAAAGTGGGTTTCAGAACAGACTGCCAAATGCAATAGACATACTCTAAATTTGCAATGAAATATCATAATACTGAATTTCTAAAACATAAATAGCTACTAGAACATCCCACTCCATGTGGAGCTTGTAACCAGCCCTTTGCATGTGGCCACATGAAATTCTTAAATTCCCAGATGCTGTGGTATCACCTAGACATCCCAAAGCCTTGCAGTCTGATTCTGGCTGCGCACATTTCCTTTTACTGAGTCTCTGATTCATTATTTAC